CCCAGAGTAATTCAGGCTGCAGGGGCTTCCTGGAAATCTCTGGTCCAGCATTAGATCTGGTTGCTCAGGGCCAAGATTAGTTGAGTTTGAATATCCCCAAGGATGGAGATCCCGCAACCTCCCTGGGCTTCTCTTCCAGGGCTTGACCGCCCTCAGGGTGAAAAGCATTTTCCTGGCATCTAGTGGGAATGTGCACCCCCTCAGTCACATGGAGACGGCAGCGGGATGCCCCTTCACCTTCACGTCTCCCGGCTGAATGAACTCGGCCTCTCGTGCTTCAGCCCCAAAAATCTTGGTGGCCTTCACTGGGTTCAGTCCTGTCTGTTGTATCAGGGAGCTACAAACAGGACCCAGGGCCCAGATGGGTCTCCCAAGTGCTGAATAGAGGGAAAGATCCTATCCCTCATCCTGCCAGCTGCGCCCTGACTGGTGCAGCCCAGGACCTGGTTGGTGTCACCACTGCGGGGCACCCAGCTGACTCCTGGCCACCTGATCGTCCCCATGACCCTGGGGACCTTTCTGCAGCGCCGCTCCCCAGGCAGCTGGCCCCAGCCTACCCGGCTGCGTTTTGCTTGGACTGGCTCACCGCGAGAGCTGCGGGAGACGCAGCCTCCTCACTTGCAGCGCAGTCTGGTCGGCTTCGTGCTTCACCCAGCACTACCGTGCTCCCCTGAGGGCCAGCAACATCTCATGGAGGGCTCTGCTCCATTCCCTGCGCGCAGGCATGGCTGTGTGGCCTGCTGGGCTCGGACAGGAGTCTGCAGCAGCATGGTTTGCTGTTATCCATCCTGTGATAGGGGAGTGTGGGCCTGGGGGAAGCCTGGCCCAGCACGCCATCTGCACTTGTGAACTGCTCGGGCTTCTGCTCCGGTCTAGGCACAAGATGTGCCTCTAGATGCTTTTGCAAGGACCTTCTGTGTGTTGTGCTGTTGGCAAACAGGCTGGGGCTTGCTGCAGTGGTAGTCTTGGCTTGGTAAAACCTGGGTGCCCCGGACCAATAGCTTGGCCACAACCTGGTTTTTTCTGCTGACACACTGCTCAGCTGGCAAGATCACAGTTCAGCAACCAGCTTTTGGATGAGCCCCAGTAGCAGGGTCCTCTGTCAATTGCTGCAGAGGAATAACAGGACGTCAGAGCAGCAGAAACCTCAGTGCAAATGCTGCTTCTCCTCCCCCCCATCTGAAAGCCCCAAGTCCCTTCAGCTGTGAAGGTGTTTCTACATCCATGAGCCAGAGGGTTGGAGTAAACAGAAGGGCCTTCAGGTGACGTGGCCTCCAGAGAAACTATGGGGCTGGATTCCTCAGAGGGGATAAACTTCTCGTGTCTCCATGCCCAGGTGCCACGACACTCCCGGCCCAGGGGTCTGCAGAGGGGGCCGTCTGCCCACACGCAGTCTTGGAGGAGAGAGGAAACCTTGACATCAAGAGGGGATGCTGCCAAGGAGGTGGTGGCCTTCTCTGGTCCTCGCTGTTCTCGTTCCTCTCAGCCCTGGGACCTGCTGTAGCACTAACAGCTGGTTTTAAGGGCCAATGTATGCAGGGAGACAAGAAACACAGACTTGTTCAAACAAGCAGTGGCTTTGTCGTCTCAGAACCACCCTGCCACGAGGGACAGAGCTTTGGGAGGCTCCATTGGCCCGTCTTGCACCTGCCAGCCCTCAGGGGCTTCTCAGTCCTTTCCATCTTGCATCCTCTTCCCTCTGCTTTTCTTCTTTTCTTCCTTGTATGAAGTGCGGCCACGAGGCCTTGGGACCGCTGAGCTCACCGTGTGCACAGCTCCCTGCTCCCGCCTCAGAAACAGCAGAGCAACACTGTCTTTCTTCATCTCACTCTGGAGCAGCCCTGATGTCTAGCAGAACTACTAAACAGCAGAAGATGGGCACTGGGATCTCCGAAACCAGGAACAGCAGCTACTGCTGGGCCTCCTGCTACAGTAGTGGCATGCTTGCACGCAGTGAAGCTGAAGGGACACATATCGCTGCACAACTACTGCTAGAAAACCTCCTGCTGGAAACCTCTCATTGCGTGTGGAGTTCATGGATCTCAAGAACGTTCAAGTGCAGATCAGGTTTTGGAACCGCATGTTTGGCTTCTTCCCCTGCATCACCTGCAGTTGCTCTGCCGCTGTCGGGCTGCCGCTCCGCTCCGGTCCTCTGTGGACACTGCTCCCAGGGATTTGCAGAGGTCCCTCCTGGCTCTCTGCGTGTTGAGCACCTTGGCTGGGGGTTCATTCAGAGGAGGATCATAGGTGTCTGACCCACTGTAACCCTCAAGAGTGGCAGCATGCCAGGGTTTTCCCGTCTAGTCCTGACTGTCCTGCTGCCAGAGCGTGGGGGCTCAGATGCGAAATACATTAATGAGAGAAGCTGTTTCTTGGATGGGAAAACAACAGTAATTTGTGAGAGCCTCTTCAAGTCCCAACCTGGAGCTTCAACCTGACAGCCCATCATGTCAGAAAAGCCATAACTCCCAAGACTCGCCGAATGCAGCTTGACGCAGCCGTGCATCCTGGCAGGCCTCTGCAAGGCCAGCAGTGCCTGGGAGGAGGGTTACCCCGAGGTAAACCACTTCTGCATGAGTTGGTGGCCATGATTGCTTCCGCATGCCGGCTGTGTGTCCGGGAAGCAGCGGGAAGCCTGCCCACAGCATGGTCGGCATCTTGTCAGTGAATACCTGTCGCCGAGAGCGGAGCAGCGCCCAGGGCTGCTCTGACTCGGAGAGGAGCAGGGCTGTCACGCATTGTCAGATGGATCTGCAGGGCTCAGAGGTAGATGGGTCGTTAACCTGGTGCATTAACGGTGCCAAGGGTCTGAGCCGGGCCAGTACGTGCAGCCGGCTGAGCAAATACCACTTGGGTTTCTGGGGCGCTGGATATAGAGAAATATCCTTCTCTTCTCAGTGAGAAGAGAAACACTTGGTCTTCAAAATCAAAGGGAAAAGGTGGCTGTGCTGTGCTCTCTGTTGCTCCGACAAGTTAGTAGCAGAGCAGAGGGAAGGGACCCAGGAGTCCGGCCTCCTGCAGCGCTTTCTGGGCATGTCCCTCTGAGCCTTGGTCGCCTGAGGCTGATCCTCATCTGCCCGCATGACCCAAAGGCTCCCCTGTGCTTGGGGCAGGTGAGTCACACCACTCTCTGCAGTCACCCCATTGATCCCCAAGAGCTGATATCCCTTTTTCTCCGCATTTCTCAATTCTTTCTGGCACAGCTCTGCCTGCAGTGACTTGTCCTGTCCCGTCAGCCCATGGCAAGATGGGAAACGAATGCCCTCAGCATCCTTGAAGCCTCCTTCCATGCTCAGCCACTGAACCTCATGCTTGCTAAGCCCTGGCAATCCTGCAAACAGGCACTAGGAAGGAGAGCGTCAGCTAATAGATACAGTGTGGGGTGGCAGGAGAGGCCATTCCCCCGCACCTTCCCCTGGGTGCTTGCCCTGCGCCCTGCTTGTTTTTCATACGCCGTATGTTAAATACCCATGGCCTACCCATAGACCTCCTCTCGCAGCCGTCCCAGCACTGGGGCCCAGGGAGCTGCTGGTGTCCCCAGGCTTCCCCCCACGCCCGGGTGATGCCAGCCCCGTAGCACCTGGGAGCAGTTGACCCAAGCGCCATGTCGACCTCCTTGGTCACCTTTCTCCATGCTGGGCATCAGCTATTGGAGGATCCCTCCACCTCCTGGAATCCCAAAACCCTGCTAGAGCCTGCATCAAATTTTGAAGTTCATCCTCTTCAGTGTTACCCTTGCGTCATGCTTACTAGATTGCAGCTAACTTCCAAAATGTACTGACGTGGCCCTACTTTTTAAACGGGCCCACTTATTGCAGCAAAAGGAACAGGAAAAAAACCCTAATTTGCTTCTCCGTACCCAGACTGCTGATGCCAGTGGGTTGTTGCCACTGCTGCTCTGGGGGTTTCCAGGGCATCCAGCTGTAGCACTCAGAGTTCGTGCAAGTTGACCTACGTTGGCCGGCTGACTTACAGCCATCTCACTGTCTTGGCTATAGACCGATGCGTAGGGGTGTCCATAAGCCATCCTGGCTTCAGCAGCAGAAGATGCACTCTGATGTCTGCTGGGATGTGGAATGCCCGAGTCAGCACCCCCTTGGCTCCACATAGGTCCGTCCTAGCTGGGTGTTGTGCAGGGTGGGCTAAATCCCAAGCAGTTCACGTCCCTCTGCGCTGGGGCTGTAAAGAAGCAAAACCTTTTCTGCTCATGTTTCACTGGGCAAAAAGGTGTCTGTGTGTCCAGCCTGCTCCTGCTGGATGTGGCCACCCTGGGCCAGCGTGGTAGCCAGCTTCCAAAGGGAGGAGAGGGCAGTCCCGGGCTCAGACTCATTTGTACTCAGAGTCAAACAGGCCACACAGGCCTTCTTCCTGGGCATGTGGATGCTGGAAGACCGTGCTTGGATGTGGCTCCATGGAGAGGGGGTTGTCTAGGGGGTCTGGTACAGATAGGTGTCTCCCCTTGCAGTTGAGCACCTGAGGCAGATAGCCGGACACAGCTGCAAATGGTGCCCTGCAGCATGTATCCCTGTGACTCGGGGAGCCCAAAGGTGGTTTCATGCAAATTCCCTTTCGTTTGCTGCCCACATGGAGGAAAACTCTGTGTTACTGCAGCTGTTAATAGTTACTAGCTTCTTTTGTCCATAGTTACAAAGCGTGAATGACCAGAGTGCTGGGCGTGAGTGGAGTCTGACACATTGGCTTCTGGGTGGTTTTGCTCATTCCCCCGATTCACTCCCTCCTGGTGCTAATTGGTGCCGTGCACCTCCTCGGCTGGTGGCGTGGGGCTGCTGGAGCACTCTGCTCGCAACCTGTGGTTCTCCACTGCAGCGTTGTTTGCCTGTGGTGCGATTTATGAGCAGCTCTCTCAAGAGGATGCAGTTCTTGGTGCGAGTGTTGGGTGACCTTTTAACGCTGTGACAGTAGATTCGTTCGTGATATGTAAGGATTCTGGCTGGACTATGCCGTTTGTAACAATGACTTGTCTGGCTGTTGTTTCTTAGTCGGAGGATCTCGGTGCCTGTGCCCAGTTCGAGAGCAGCAGACAGAACAGGAACATGATGCCTAGCGCCAGCTGTGTCTTCCCCACTTTCAACCTGCGCAAGCCCTCTTCGGAGACGGACATTGAGAATTGGGCTTCCAAGCACTTCAACAAGCACACCCAAGGGCTCTTCCGGCGGAAGGTGTCCATCGCCAACATGCTGGCCTGGAGCAGCGAGTCCATCAAGAAACCCATGATCATGACCAATGACCGCAACGTCAAGAAGGAGGCGTGTGAGATATTTAAACTGATTCAGATGTACATGGGGGATCGGCGGGCCAAGACGGACCAACTCAACGTGGCCTTGGAGATTGCCACCAAAGGCTGGAGCATGCAGGGCCTGCGAGATGAGCTCTACATCCAGCTGTGCCGGCAGACCACCGAGAACTTCCGTTACGAGAGCCTGGCCCGGGGCTGGGAGCTCATGGCCATTTGTCTGGCCTTTTTCCCACCCACTCCCAAATTCCATTCCTATCTAGAAGGATATATTTACAGGCACATGGATCCGGTGAATGACACAAAAGGTAAGAGAGAAACCACTGCCAATGGCTTTTGCCCCTGCTGACATTGCAACCTCTTTGTTTTTTTTTTTTTGTTATATTTCCCTCCCTTTTGCATTCATGTACATTGTGTCCTTGGTGAGACATGGGCAAAAGCCTTGTGAATAACCTGCCCGGGGGCTTAGTGAATGTGATCTTGGCTTTAGCACTGGCCTTTCCTCTCTGGCGCACAGAAATCCAGCATGAGACCCACCATAAAATGAGCTTTGACACCCTTGCAGTAGGCCTGGTGGCAGTGCAGCAGCATATACAAGCAAGAGCACTGCTAATCCCAGCTGAGCGCTTCCGTGGCATCAGCATGCTCCTGAGCACCCATCCCTCCTAGGGAGGCTTGCAAGTGAGCAGAGCTCTACATTTCACTCACCTCCAGTGGTGTTCATTGCCTGCGGCTTTGCTGGGTGGGGCGGACTCTGTTCTCACACATGGATGACAGTTTGGAGGAGCCCTGTTCAGGGTGGTCGGGCTTCCCTTGCTAGCATGCCACAGTTCCCAGGAGGAGTGCTGACTATCACTAAATTAACGCGCAGAGGACCGGATTAAGAGAGTTGAAGCGATCCGGGTGGTGGAGTCTCCTTCGCTGGAGATATTCAAAAGCCGTCTGGATGTGATCCTGGGCAATATGCTCTAGGTGACACTGCTTGAACAGGGAGGTTGGACTAGATGATCTCCAGAGGTCCCTTCCAACCTAAACGATTCTGTGATTCTGTGATTCTGTGGGTGTCCTTCGGTGACAGGCAGTTGGGTCTTCCCTACGGGCCTACGCCCCACTTCTCCCACCATTGCTTGTTCTTTGAGGCTGGCTGAGGCGTTGGTGGGCAGTGGGCTCTCAGCTTGGCTTAGCTCGGCTGGTGCAGAAAGAGCAGAATGTCCTCTGCACCCGGCGGTAGCGCAAGAAAGCTCCACACTGCCTAGGCTCTGCGTGTCTTGGGGGAACTGGCCTGCCACCGGCACGGCGAGCAGCACCACGTCCCGCTGTGGCCGCAGCAGCTGCTGCAGAGCTAGCTCCTGCGCAGCTCCGTCCTGCATGCTCGCGGCTCCCCGGGGCAGGGATCCCGCAGGCAGACTGGCTTGCCCTGGGATTCAGAGGCAGTGCAGGAAGTGAGGAGCTAAGAGGAGGCACGCAGGGCTCCTGGAGGAGCTGGGTCCGCATCTGGGTAGGCAGAGAGCCTGGAAGAGCCCTGGCCTTCGAAACGGGCCAAGTGGGAAGGGGAGGCGTAACCGGGCTACTCCGTCCGGGAGCAAACATGGCCAGCGGTGACATCCCTGTGCTTTCGTTCAGGGGCAAAGGGACTGAAGAAGAGACGATGGGCAGGAGCTGGCAGGTCCCAGCTCTCCCCACTTGCCATCCTGGGCGCAGGTGTCTTTAAACACCCCCCGCCCCGCCCCATTGTGCTTCAGTTCTGACCCAGAAAACATGACATTTCCCTATAAACGTCATGTGCGGTATGGCAATGCGTGAGTCATCCCCCCTCTGCCTCCACGCTGTCCAGCTCCACAGCTACAGCCTGCAATTGCTTACTCTAGACGCTGTTAGCGTCACGCTTTTATTTTAGACTGTTAAGCACGTATGAACTCGTGGCTGAGGCCGTCCCTGTAGACGGTCTCCACCTGACAGCGATTCCAGAGAAAATGGGTTTTCCAACGAGATGTAAAACAGCAGTGAGTTGTTCCCTTTCCTCTTCCCACTAATAACTTGATGGGAGTCTGCGATACAGCAGGATCACGTAATTGCAGGGAGCATGTGGCTGTGACAGGGCCCATCAGGAGGACCCAAAGGCAGCGAGGCCAAGGGCAGTTTCAGGGGTGAGCAACAAGGATGCGTGGCCTGGCAGCTGCCAGGCTCCGGCGACCACTGCTTTGGTCCGTCTTGGTGGGGAGGACAGTCCCCTCTCCAGGTTTCAGCTAGCTCCCGAATAGATGCCGCGCATCCAGCTTCACCGTGCACTGCACAGTGGTCTGCGTGGACTGCAGGCATGGACTGCACGTGTGAATTAAGGGTCCATCAGATCTGTCTCATCCCTCCTTGTCTTACTCCCACTGCTTGCAAGTATTTAAAAATAGATATAGCAGGAGCAGTGGCTTGCTTTGCCTGCAGGAGAGCAGGTGGGTTTGCGGTATATGGTGCATGGGGGAGTGGGAGCGTGTTGTGGATGCAAAGGAGTGAGCTGGGGAAAGCGAAATGCAGGAAGAGTTATGTCCCTCAGTGTGGGGGGGTTGTAGCCTGTCTGCCAGGTGAAGGCAAAATCCACAGTGTGTTCCTGGGACGCTCGGCCTCGCACAGCCTGATGCGAGCATGCACGTGGGGAGAGGCACGGCGTCCCTGCAGATGGGGCGGAGCGGGTAAAGGGGGCACGTTCGGCCAGGAGGTGTGGTGGGCGATCTGATGGCGAGGGTGGTTCCCCACTGAACTGAATTTGAATTTCTTCCCCAAAAAAGGCCCCAGTAAAGGTGATGGGGACAGAGTCTCAGCAAGTGAGGCAGAAGATGAGATAAGACGGTCATAAAAGCTCTTTCTGCCCAAAATCTTGCTATTGGAGTCTCTCCCCCAGGGTGATGGTTTCACAGTTAGGGTCATCCACACTGCCACAGCCTGGTGGCCCCCAGCAAGATGCTGGCAGACCTGCAGGTCCCGTGCTGCACGCGCTGGTGGCATCTGCAGGGAGATGCTCAGGAGAAGGGAGGAGGCTGCAGAGATTCTTGAGATTTTTCTCCTCTTTGGACCAGCTGCCCTGCCTAGATGCTGCTCTGAGCTAGGGCAGAGCGATGAGAGTACAGGCACAGCTGGAGTATCCTATCTCTCCATGGGTGGTAGATGGCCCAGAGGAGGATGGGACTCCTGGGTCATAGGGCTCGAGGGGTTTGCAGGTGCAAGTGCCCTTGTCCAGACAACCTTTGGTGGTGTCTCCATCTTTGGAGATGCTCAAAAGCCGCCTGGACCCAGTCCTAGGCAGCCTGCTCTAGGTGACCCTGCTTAAGCAAGGGTGGAGGTTGGATGAGATGATCTGCAGAGATGCCTGTCAACCTCAAGCATGTTGTGATTCAGTCTGAGAGATGGAGCTTGAATGACCCTGGGGCACGTCCAGGTGCCCTTCAGCTCCCTGGAGGGGATGTCTGGTGAGCACCGGCATCGTGTGGAGCGGTGGGCTCCAGCTGGATGGAGCAAGTGGATTTGCCCAGCCTGTGGACAAGCCTCTGAGCAGTGCCCCATGGGCTGTCATAGTCCAGCTTGAGCCGAGCAGGGCCCACAGAGTAGGTCCTGCGGGTGCTGGTGCCAGCTGCCAAGGACAGTACCTTAGCCTATATTGATATTTCCGCCTTTAAGGTCTTTAATGAAGGATATTCGCTGTCTGCTCAGTGGCGTAGGTGCAAACTGCAGCCCTCGAGCAGTCAGCTGATGGAAGGTCCCTTTTCTGGGCCACGGTCGGGCACCCTCAGCATCTCCCCTGACTGTGCGTGGTTTTGTGGAGCCGGTGGCTTGCTGTCGCCGTGCCTCTGCAGCCCATGCAATGGCTTCGCTGCCTGTCCGGCTCCAAACCCTTGCAGCCCTGACCTGTAACTCAGGCACGTGAGCGCCCAGGCAAGGCAGCCTCCTATTGCCGTTGCCTCCGAGCCTCTTCGCCAGCAAGTGCTCGGCCCATGCCCTCTAGGCTGCAGGACAGTTCAAGGAGGGCGGCAGGTTGTGCAAACGCTTCGGCTGCTGGAAGCAGCCACATAACGGCCGCACGTGCCGAGACCCGAAGGCAGAACGTGCCTCCACAG